AAAGCTAAAGTAAATCCAGCGTTCTGTAACAATTGGTCGTACTGAAGATTTCATTTTCATTACAAGTCATAAAACATTAAAGTTGATCAACACTGAGTGCAGTTCTTAATTCTGCAGCCCACAAAAAGTACCAGTTCATTTACATAAAAAAGTAACCCTTTGCTATGTAAATAAAAAAAAAAATATTCTTTGTTACATCCATAGATTAGCGTGCCAGGTAGAAAGTCAGAAACAGAGAAATAGAGTATCTCCACAGAGAAAACTAGGGTAGTACAGAATGATACTTCAAAGTCTTCCCAGTGAACTGTTACACATAACACACGGCCAGGTAGACCTACAAGTATAGTGCAAAACGGTAATACTGTATATTGTGTAATTACACACAATATGATGACCAACCCTAAACCCTTCATAAAACCTCTCAATACATGTAAAGCAAAATCAGTTAGACACCAATGGTGGCTATTCTGTGGTCTGAATATTTTAAGGAAAAAGAGCAAAAACAGTCACTGCAACCCCAGAGCATCACAAATATTGTCAACATGCCTCAGTTTTGTCATTTACTGCTTTAAATCACAAAATGGATGTACATGATAACTAAAAATATCCCATTTTGTACAGCATAGGTTTCTGCATAGTACAAAAAGATTACATTTTTATATTAAAGGATAAGTTCACCTTTCGTAATGTTCAGGGTGTAACATGTAATGAATGGGCCAGCCCCTGCACCCCCCCATCCCCGATTGTGACAGCTAGTGGGGGTATCTTCTCCCTCATGCTACCTGTCACAATTTTTTTTTTAAAGTGTGGCCATGTGAGGCTCCGCCCACCCGGCTGCATCATCCAATCATGGTTTTCCATTAATAGGAAGACTACAAGCCCCGACAGCTTTTGTGGCTGTTAGCTTGTAATTCTCAGTTAACTACTACAGCGCTGTCGAGCACTGTTAGTTAATTGATTCTTCCTGTCAGTCAGTGTAAAACTGTCTGCACGGCCATATCACTCATTCACATTATTCTGTGAATGAGAACACTACAAGCTCCAACAGCTTTTGCAGCTGTTGGCTTGTAATTCTCAATGAACTACCACGGCAATGTGGAGTGCCAAAGTAATTCTTTCAATCTTCCTGTCAGTAAGTATCTGCTTGCCCGTATGAGATGTACGTGCACACAGATACACTGACAGGTTTGCAGGAGACCTGCATGGCACCAGCAATCAGCAATGCTTTAAAGGCTCCAGAAACAAAAAATAATAAATGCATTTTTTTACCTGCAAAAAAATGTGTATTTATTATTTTTTGTTAAAGGGCACACATGTCCTTTAACCCTGCAATAAAACTCAACATAGAAATACATATTTTTGTATTGGGGAGTAAGTGACAGATGCATGTAAAAAGTATATTACGGGGTTGATTTACTAAAGCTGGAGCATGCAAAACCTGGTGAAGCTCTACATAGAAACCGACTTCCAGGTTTTGTCAACGCTAAACTGAACAAGCTGAAGTTAGAATCTGATTGGTTACCATGCACAGCTGTACCAGATTCTGAATGCTCCAGTTTTAGTAACTCTCCCCCTAAATGTACATACTGTTTATTATGAGGAGGCCAAAAGGAGAAAGATAAAAATGTCTATTATTTGAACCAAGCTACATTGTTGGTGCGAAACAACGCACATTAAGCCAGCCTAATGGGTGCAGTGATAATGAATCATCACAAGCTGGGTCTTCTGGCTCCATTCTTACAATAGCATTTATTGACATTATTGTGCATGTTCTTAAATGTGGGAGTGAACATAAACATAGCCATCACTGTTCGAGACCTAGAATCTAGATCCAAACTGCACAATTTGTTGGTCAAGTAAGCTTATTGCTTTTTAGGACCCTGGCTATATGACATTCAAACATAGAAATTGTTTGATTGGAGATTACTACTTCTGGGACCTTAAAACAATGGTGACTTGGTATTTGGGGTGCTTGCTAATAGGATGGTCTAAGACAGATTACAGTAACCTGTGTGTGAATAAAAATAATGTAAATGGTAGGTGCTGTAATATTAACTAATCCAGAAACTTCATTAGGTCACAATTCTCTCATGTCTAAATATGCCTTTACACCACCTGACAGCAACCAATCAGAACTCATGCATCGCTGATCTGACTGTAGTAACCTCACTTTTGAATGGTTGGTATATGCCACTGAACTTTACAAATCATCATAAATGACTGCCCTGTTGTCATAAGATTGTTATCCAGTCATATAAAAAGATTATCCCACCAGTCTGTTACAGCAAGATTTAACACCTAGAAATGCTCAACTTTTTCTGCAATAAAGTAGTTCCAGCTTCTGGAATCTAGTCTGTCAATGGGCCTCTGATCCTGGGCTGTATGAAGTTGATAGACAAAGGCTCAAGTGGCATGTCCAACCATCACTACTGGACACACAGTCCAGGAATTTTACATCTAAATTTAGGTTTATATTTTGTGCTGCATTCATTATGAATGTCACTACAACGCACTGTTTTAGACTTGCATGTCAGTGCGCTGCAACAGATCTGCATTTTAATGCATTATAACACACACAGGCAAAGTTGCAGTGTGTAACTGCATTAGTGGGTTCATTGTGGCACATTTCAAACCTACTCAGAATGCATAGGCTGCTTTACTACAACACAGGTTAATGTTCATTCAATTAGGCACCTCAAATATGTATACCCGGACTAGCAGATGCAGGATGGAAACCCTGTGACAAATAAGCAGCTATATGGACAAGCTGTAGGTTTGTTTCATATTTGTGCTCGACTACAATGGCAATTACGTTTTAGGTGAAATAATTTAAAGTGCAACGGCACCTCTAGTGCATTTCCACCTATATAGTACTCCCCTTCCTTCATCCACAGAGTCCTCACCTAGTCTTATACTCATTCTGACCTGTTCCTAGCATGCAGCTGCTTGCCAGAATCTTTCCCAGCCAGGCCTGCACAATCTCTCTGCACTCCTGAGGAACTGAACAGTACAAGCTCCTACTTGGAAGCTCTACAAGGAATGAATAGGCGCGCAAAACACATACATAGGCCTGGCTGTGTGATCTAACAAGCAGCTGTGCAGTCTAGTCAGATCCAAAATTACAGTAACACTTTAAAACAGGGGGCACATTAAGATGATATGAAAGTCAGAATAATTTACAACAGTGTCTAAAGATTGGTACATTAATCGTCAAATTGAGCACATATTGACAATATCCCCCAATATCTGACCACAGACCAAATAATCTCTTTTACGCAAATATATATATTCTTCACCCAATAAAAAGAGAATTACATTATGTACTGGCCTAACAAAGTATCTGCAATAACATGAAAAGCCCTAACTGATTATATTAGTGGTCTTATGAAACATTAAGTCATAGAAAACCTTTCCATTTAGGAGTCATAAGTATGAGACTGACATTAACTTTGTTATTAACTGTACAGGTGTTTTATGTTTTTTTTTTTTTTACTGTTTACACCACATTGCTGGCATTATAGCAAAACAATCTGAACATCTATCTGCAAATCCCTTTGCTTTCAAATGTCTTTCTTTAATATATTAAAATATATAAAAATAAACTAAAAAGGTTTTATAGGCATCCAGGTGTAAACTCGGGTCTTCTAAAAACCTTCAAAAACAAAAGTCAACTGCCTATCAATTGCAACTTCGTGCTGCAAAAATGCAGCGCAAATGCAATCATTTGTCATATGAAAGAAAATTCTTACCAACTTACTGCTGTGGTCCCAGGACAAAGATGTGAAATAGCTGGTATGTACTAACTTAGCACACTGTTAATTCAGGTTTCTTCAATTGGATGACAGAAATAATATAAACTTCATATTTTATTATTTTAACAAGAACTAGGATGAAGAAGTCTATTTTCATGTCTTACCTAACTTGTTAAAGTACTTCTAGCCCTTCATAATTCAGTGGCAGTTCGCAGACGCCTACTGGCATAGGAAAATGTGGAAATAACTTATCTGCTTAAGCTAACAAAAGGGCAGTACAGGAAGCTTCATTTTATTTAGTTTTCCAAGTGAACATGAGGCCTATGCACATCTGCCCTAAGGTTCCATCTAAGAACATGTAGTTTTTTTTCCTTTTGAATAATGAAAGAGGGGTGAGAGCTTACTGAAAACACAGACTTCTATAAATTAAGACACTACAATACCAATGCAGAAAAGGAGGCATATCCATCTTATCAGAAGTGTATTGACATAAAAATCCATACTTTCCACACAAACCTTCATCTCTAAAAGCAGAAGCTGAAAAGGAGACTAGGGCACAGCACTGGCCTTACACCTGAGAAAACAGACCCTTAGACAATAGTTTACATGGAGCAACCAGACTTTGAAAAAACAGACTGTATATAGATGAGAAAACTGCAGACAATTTTTTTCTTTTTTTTGTATATAGAATGATTTCCCTATTTTCCCAACATCAATCACTACTACAAATACTGGTAATGAAACACTGGACCTAGGTTATGAACAAAAGTATGTTTCCTGCCATACTGCTTGAAAGCACCCATTCTTTGTAATTGGACATTCTAAAATCAGGCAGTATAACAGTGTTTTTTCAGGGTTGAGGAGATTTGTGACTGAGAAATTATACAATTTTAGGACATTCCCTAACCAACTCTAGCTCTCACTTGTCATCTCAGGAAAAAAATATCCTGTCTAAAACAGCCAGCGCTAGTTATTATTAAACACAATATATATAAAAATAAATATATGAAACAAGGGCACAGTTGGATTCACAACAATTAATCTTTTTCCCGTTTTTAACCTTTTTTTTAAAAAAAAAAATGGGGAGGATTGATGCTTTAAAACAAGAAAAATTCATGTATACAAAAACATAAAACATTCACTCTCTGTAACAGAAAATATAACCTATTCAGTAAAATTATTGCAAAATAAGTCAAAGTAATGGAAGGCAAAATGAAGGCCGTAAAGCTAGGTTGAAGAAGACTGATCCTAGGTGTCATTGTTTGCTACTGTGGATGTGATCTTGACATACTGGTTGAAGATGGTTTCAAACGCTTCATCTCGGTGTACCATGGCACCAAACACTAGTGGCTATAGAGGAAAGCAGACATTTTCATTAGGTTGCAATACATTTTTCAACAGCCTGTTTAGCTTGTAAATGAAACGTAAACATACAAAAACAACTATAAGTAGCACAATGATGAGCTCATCTCTCCATCACTTTAATTTTATGTACTATCTACATGGTTCTTGTCAGCATATGAACTGGAGGTCCTGTGGGTAGGATATAAGCTATAGCTTTTAGGTACATTCTGATGGCTCTGATCATGTCCACACAGTGAACGGCAATCTCCTTTGGGTGCTTAGGAGCAGGACACAATGAAGGAAGAAGTATTTATTTGTTGAGAAGAAAGTCTGACACTATCTTAAAGAGGAGCTCCAGGCTCCCCCCAAAAAATTAAAAGTCAGCAGCTACAAATGCTCTGGGTTCCCAGCACTGGTATTGCAAGGGAAACCGGAAGTGAAACCTTGCGGCCTCACATCCGGTTTCCTACTGCACATGTGCGAGGAGGGGAGCTGAAATTTTAGTTCAGTTCGAAGTGGCAAACTGACCTAGAAGTGAGAGCAAGTACCTGTCAAAACCAGAATGTAAGGAATTGAAATGCTTGTGCTCAAACCAGAAAATGAAGGATTTAAATGTACGCAAGTAGATATTTCTGAAAGAAGCTTTTCATGATATTAGCAATGTAGGACTGACAGGATCTGAGATCGAGATCCCTTTGTCTCTTAAAGTGGTATTAAACTCTGCTAGAATTTTTCCATCTTTGCCTGGCCTTTCTGCTAGGTTAGCTCTCTCCAGCCCCTTGAATAGCCAGGCCACGATAATGAGCGGTGATGAGCTCAACTCTCCATCACTTTAGTTTTATTTACAATCCACATGCTTCTTTTCAGCACATGAACTGGAGGTCCTGTGTGATAGCATGCACCGTGTATTGGCACATTATGGCAGCCTTACCCATCAAACCAGCCCTCCAGCGCTGGGCAGTTACTGTTCCAACTCACCCTAGACACTTCCATCTTTGCCCGGTCTTTCTTCTAGGTTAGCTCATCTTGAATGCTCGAGCCACGATAATAAGTGGTGAAGAGTTCAACTCTCCATCACTTTAGCTTTATTTACTATCTACATGCTTCTTGTCAACACTTGAACTGGAGGTCACATGAACTGAAGCTCATCTCTCCGTCCTCTGGAATGGCCAGGCCACAATAATGTCACTCCCCCACATGTGTACAAGGGTCACATCACCATGGCACAGAGCAGGTTCTGTAAATGTGGTATGAGTCACGCATGCATGGCTCATATTACTTTACAGATGACAGGCGCTTATGACAGAGACCACTAGGGTTAATTTTATATTTCTAAAGATTCCTATGTAATACAGTCATTCTGAAATTAGGTCTGTTTTCAGTCTGAAGGGGTCAATCATAATCACTAAAAGTTTTTCAGGAAGCAAAACTTTTGGGGGGGGGGAAAAAAAAAAAAAAGTTGTCCTGTGTGTTACACAAACAACAGATATTGTGGCTTACACTTGCTATGGGGCTACTCTAACAGTTCAAAAGGGTGACCCTGTCTTACCTGTCCATGTCACTGGTCCTTACATAGGGTCCAGGTTTTGCCCATCATGGTGGGCATAGCCCTAGAGGGGTCTTCAGGGTCTGTGTTTTATAGGGATGTATAGAACCTGGTGGCTAACAACACATGTTGCACCAAGTGCTAAGATGAGCACCCAAGAAGGATCAAGTGCCTTAAGCGAAGCAACATTACAGTTTGTCCCCACAATGTGGGGTCAAGGTACAGCTTTTTACAGTTTTACAGAGGTTGCACCAATGTAGATGCACTGTTTCTATTGTTGAATTAGAAGACCGAGTCTGGGTTCAGCCAATGCGGTGTGTGGGACCCAGCATGCGATTGCATGCAATGTCTGTGCGGTGCGATTTGAGCCATACATTTTGTATGACTCAAATCGCATCAGCATCAAAAAGGTACAGGACCCCCCCTTTTTTTTTTACCCGCACTTGAATCGCATCGCATGGGTGTTCTCACCCATGCAATGTGATTTCTGGCAATCACATAGCATTTTGCAATTTGTTTCTGGGTGTCATTAATTAAAAATTGACATCCAGCACCAGATTGCATGAAAGCCATGCGATTGCAATGTGGTGCAGGAAATGCACAGGATTTGCAGCGTTTCCAGCACCGCATTAGAGTGAACCCGGTCTGAAGTAGAAATAAATTGCTAGGAAAAAGGTGGGGTTTTTTTTTTTGTATTAGCTACTTTGTAGCTAAAACACTCCTGCCCCTTTCTACTAGTAATTTTGTGTGTACATTGCCTGCACCTCATGTGTACTATACACTCTTGATCCACTCTGGACACCTGTATAATGTAATAACTTTTAGCTCTGTAGACATAAGATCACTGTACAGGGCAATTTCAGCTGTATAAGGGCAGAATTTATGACATGGTTTGCTAACAAATATATCATTCAAGTAGTTTGGATGAAAATGACATCATTCAGACAGGGCTGTAACGTGAGACAGCTGAAGGCCAGAGAGGTTTTCTTTTCAAGTAGTGGGGTTACAAATGAAAATTCGAGTACAAAAGATAAAAAGCCAATGGCAAGGGGGTTAAAAAATATGTTACAGCAAAGGACAAAGACAAAGAAAGAGAAGAAATAAGGATGGGAATTAATGAGGACAAGAGAGCATATACTAAGCTGTGATTTGGAGAACAAGCAAAAGCCTTTGAAAAGCTAAGGGTATGCAATGACAGAATTGATCTCAGGCTCATTGCAGGGTCTAATGCTATTTTGTCCTTTAAAAGAGGTAGGAGGAGCAGATGAAGAACACATCAAGGAATAGGCATTAAAAAAAATGGTTTTCGTTTGGAGAAAATGTGCTTATATTAGAGAAGAACACTTGGCAGATGAGACCACATACCCAAGTTCCTACAGAGCATATTAATGTTTTCTTCTCCAATGTCAAGCCTGGGATTGCTTCAACATTTTAGAGGGATTGTTGCCTTGAGCAGAGCCTGAAGCCTATTGGTTCATGTTTGCATTTTAGAAGATTTGCTGTGCCAGAGTTGTCAGCTGGTACAACAGGGGCAGGCACTCATAGGAGGATAATTGAGCCAAAGGTTAAGGTCACTGTGTAGTAAAAAATAAGTGGTGCTAACATGAACAAATTCAGAAGGTTGCTCAATCACTGAGATGCGAAAATAAAAGAAAAATGGATGAGGACAGAAAGGACAACAGTTCATGAGAGCAGCACTGAAAGTTACAGAACACCACGATTTACAAAGATGTTAAAGTGAAAAATGTAATACCTTTTGAGTAGAAGGGGTAGAAACTGCAATTCCCATTCCTGATCCTGGAAGCACTGAAAGAACTTTATACTGAAAAACATATATATTATTCCATAAACAAGAGTACAACAAAAGCAAAAAATATAACATTTATACCTGCCACGTTTTAAACATTTAAAAGATAAGTTCACCTTTTAACAAAAATGATTAAAAATGCACATATTTTTGCAGGTTAAAGTGTTTGCTTTTATTACTTTTTGTTTTAGAAGCCTGGAAAGCATTGTAGCAGTGATGAGCAGATTGCTGGTGCCATGCAGGTCTTCTGCAGTCAGTGTAATCTTGCTGCTCGCGCCTTGTACGAGCAGACAGTTTTACACTGACAAGAAGAATCAATTAACACAGTGCTCAACAGCACCGTGGTAGTTCATTGAGAACTACAAGCTAACAGCTGCAAAGGCTGTTGGGGCTTGTAGTCCTCCCTTTCGCAGAACACTGTGAATGGATGATGTAGCCGGACACGTGGAGCCTCACATGGTCGCGTTTTTAAAAAATGTGACAGCTAGTGGGGGGAGAAGATCTCCTGCTAGCTATCACAACGGGAGATCGGGCGGGTGCGAGGACTGGTTTAACTGTAACATGTTACAAAAGGTGAACTTATCCATTAAGAACTGCCTCAGTTATCCTCAATTAAAAGAAGAATAAAAAATGAGCAGTGCTTGGATCTTCCTATGTCAGACAATCTGCAGCACATTCCCATGCTCTTCACTTATCCACCATGAAAACTACTTACCAAGAACTTTTAACAATCTATAATTAGACTTCTGAATTTCAGTATGCACTATTCTTGGTTAAACTTGACACTCACTTTATTACCCAATTATACGTTTATAAAAGCTACAGCCAATTTTCAGGAGATTAAAAAAAAAAAAAAAAAAATCTTATGGTGCCCCACCTTAATCTGGCAACATAAATGGATGGAGATATTCACTTTGTAATGGCTGCTTGTCCCGGTAGAGACGGCATGTCAGCCTTCCATTCCTGGAGTTCAGTTTAACTGACTGTAACAATGTATAAAAGTTTGAGCCTCCACACACTAGACTACTATTCTTAACAGCTGATACTGACTGGCACAAGTCATCCAATGTGTGTGTACCCTTTTTGTGACTCTCAGCTCAGTGATAATGGCTATATTCAACCATTTTATTGATCTTGAAAATGATTGTATGTCCAATACCTGCTTCATGTTTTTCACATCACACTATTCAATAACCTGGTAACATTCAAATTTCTAATGTTATGCAGTAATGAGATTTGACAGTGCTGCTTCAACTAATAACAGTGCACACTTAAGACCAACGTAAGATTTTATTTCAAATAGTCTCTATAGCCAAGATATTGTTGCTAGGGATGGCAGCTAAATTTATCTATGTGCTCATAGGAATGTGAAAACAAAGGCAGATGCATCAATTTGGGACTAGTCAAGTAATCAAAATATCCTTCAGCACTATGGTGCTATAATCTCATTGCCAACTGTGGCTGTACATGAAAAAAAAAAAAAACTCTCCAATCAAAAAAAAAATAAATACAGCTTTGAAAGGTCAGTGCAAATATTAAATCTCTCCAACATAAAATAAACCCTACATTCATCTAAATTCATTCATTTTTCTGCACTGGAATAACATCCATCAGTCACTGCTAGGGGACATAGAAGACAATTATTTTCTGTGTGTCCGATTTGCACTGCAATGCAGTTCTGAGGTGTGGTGCAGTGAACTGGAATAAAATACAATGTAACTATGTAAATTACACTCCACAGTGTAATATATACGATATTACAGAAAAAATAAATCCAATGGTGAATTGTTAAAAAAAATTCTTCCACCCAAGCTTTACGTTACTTATATGTATCAAATCTCCTCAACGTATGATGAAATATTAAATACATCCATATAATATTCCACAATCCAATAAAGAAATAACATGAAAATAATAAAATACAATAGTGAAGCGACTAAAATTTTCCTCCCACCAAGCGTGTCTTCAACACACTCCAAAAATCACCAGATCTGCTCCCTCCACCTGACATAGGGTTTGCTCTTACTGAAAAAACATACCTATCCCGCAACAGTCAAGGCGAGAACAGATCATAGGTTAACCGAAAACCAGTGTTTAGATCTCACTCCATCTTCTCCTCTCCATACTCCCAAGTGGACATAAAAAAACTAAAACTCCAATAGTGTAATATCAACAAAACTTTATTAAAAAATTGTGAAATAATACTCATAAATGAAACACATACAGCAGGCACAAAATAAGCTACCCCCTCTGGTGAAAGGTTCATGTGGTTCAAACCATCTGTCAGCCATCAGCTGTTCAATATCCCCACTACTCTCACACATTCCACAGCCAAAAGGATGCAAACCAATTCTCTTGCTAGAGTCAGGCTCCACCCCATAGCATTTCATCCAAAAATCCAGAAAAAAATGATACCAATGTTATAAATGAAGTTGCAGTCAGTCAGTGAGTTAAATAAGTATTTAATCCCCTACCAACCAACAATAATTCTGGCTCCTACAGACTGGCTATGTGCTCATGTGGTACATGGATTAGTCTTATCAATTTCAGAAAGTGCTCCTAACAACAACCAGTTATGTGTATAAAAAACACTTGTCCACAGAATCTCATTCTTCGTCTCCATCATGGGCAAGACGAAAGAGTTGTCAAATGACGTCAGGGAAAAGATTGTAGACCTACACAAGGCTGGAATGGGCTGCAAGACCAAGAGCAAGAAGCTTGGTGAGAAGGAGAAAACTGTTGGAGTAATTATTCACAAATGGAAGAAATAAAAAATACCCAGAAATCGCCCTTGGTCTGAAGCTCCATGCACGTTTTTGCCTCACGGGGTAAGGATGATCATGAGAAAAGTGAGGAATCAGGTGCGGGGGGGATCCCGAACATGGCGCCATGAGCAACGTGAGCTCCCGGTGCCCGCCATCCATGAGTGTAGCCCTGTCCTGATTTGCCCCACTGACTGCCTGGAGCCCTGTCCAACCTAGGGCTTGGGAGGGTGCGGCACTGGACACCGCAGTAGCTCCGAGTCCGGATGTCCTGGTGGCGGTGTCAGTGGAGCACGGATTTGTGTCCCTGGGAGAGGCAGCGGGTCGGTGAGGCGCACCTGATCCCTGGGAGCAGGAGGCGCCAGCACTGAAGGAGAAGGGGAAGGTGAGAGCGTCCTTTTGACCACTCAGGTGACAGCCCATGTGACTGGGGGCAATTTTGAAAGTGACAAGCTGTCCCAAACGAAAGTAGTGTGGCTTCATTGCTAAAGAAAGAGGCAGTGTGTTAAAGGCGATTTACTCTGCACTGAAACAGCAGCCTTGGGAGACCCTGAAACACCCAAGGTTGACTGAGACACAGAGACCCCTCACTAATTCATCTGATCTTCTTTGGAATCAGGCTTTGAGGCAACAGCTGGACCTGAATACGCTCTCAGATGGAAAGATCTTAATCAGTCGGCACATAAGGTGGTGGTCAGTTGCGATTAGTAAACGTGGGACATTTTTAATCTTGGGATACATCTGATGTTATTGCGCAGTCTAAAACGCACTCCTGAGTATTGGCAGGGACGGAGGACTATATTTGCTGGGGTTCTCAGCGGTTGGTGGAACTGGTTAGATCACTCCTGCTCCCGAAGTAACATAATAGGAGAGGTTAAAGTCATCAGAGGAGCCCATCTTCATTGGGGACAGATAATACAGTACAGCAGATGTGCATTGATAGCAAACTTATTGGCAAAGTTTAAAGAGATGAAGAGCAGATCAGCCAAAGGGGAGGGGGGTAAATAAAAACCCCAAGCTAGTGTGAATACTAGCACAATAAGGAAATATCTACCTCTGCAGGAGAAAAGCCCGGAGAATTTAACCCCTGCTAAACAGGAGAGAACTAGAAAAGGGGTGGGAGACCAATCAAGAATGTCACTAGGGACACAAGAAGCAAATCAGTCTTATGATCTGATAAATGTGGATAGTAGAACAGACCAAAGTGTTATGGAACAACAGGGAGCTACATGACAAATACCTAAAAAAAGCTGATATGGCAGAAATGTTTGCAAAATTGGAGATGTCCATGAAAAATTAAATGATGGCAATATGTAATGATCTGGGCTCAATACTGACATGAGTGGAAGAAGTAGAGGGAAAAATGGAGACACGGGCGCTTTTGATCACTAAACTAGAGACGCAAGTTGAAGAGATGCAAAGAGAACAGAGAAAGCTCACATTCAAATTAGAAGATCAAGAGAACAGAGAAAGAAGAAACAATTTAAGGATTCCCGGTTTACCAGTAGAGTCCCAAGGGGAAGACTTGCGGGACAAAATAAAGAAAGTGCTTAATCCATTGATTGGCAGACCCATAAACAGAACATTTAAAAATGGAGAGAGTACACAGGATAAGGCAACCGCAAGCAGTGTCAACAGATATGCCCAGAGATGTGATTGTTCAATTCCATCACTACGAGGACAGAGAAAAATGATGGAAAAAGCTCCTAGAGATCACTGAAATAAAATATGGAGAGATAAAAATATGGAGGGGGGGAGGGGAGTGGAGTAGTATACAGGAGATTGCTCCTTTCAAAAGTCGATGGCACCCTGGGTAGGAGTACGAGAGAGAGTAAGAGAAGAAAAAAAAAAAAATAGCCTATATACAAGAGAGATGGAGGAGGTCAATTTTATGATTTATAATGTTAAGGGACTGAATATACCAGGAAAAAGGCATAGGATCCTCACAGAATTACAACAGAGATCTATTGGAATAGGATTTTTACAAGTAACACATTTATTACAGGAAACAAATGTAAAATTATATTCTAGATATTACCCAACCTGGTATTATGCGGATTCACCTACTAAGCAGGCTAAAGGAGTGGCAATTGGTATAGCTAAGAATTTAAGATTTAAGTTGGAGGAGAGGCTGGAGGATCCAGAGGGGCGGTTTTTGTTTCTGAAGGGGCGATTACAAGAAATGGAGTGTGCATTGGCAAATATTTACTGCCCCAACAGAAACCCGGAGGCCTACCTCAAGAATATACTGGG